ATCTGCAATTTAATTGGAAAAACAATTCAGTGTCATCCATTTCTAGAAGAGTGATAGGCAATTAAACCAGAAAATTGTATAAATCTCTAATTTTTGGGAAACAAGTGAAATCAGAATTGACATAATGAAATCTATTTCGATTTTTCAATTTAAACTCAAAGTTTGCTTTTGTCAGATTTAAAAATACATCTGGCTCTTCAAGTGGGTCAAATAACACTCATTGTAGGAAATAAAATGCCTTGCTATCTCAATTTTTTTAAATTAATTTGTTTAGTTTTTTACTTACTAATATTTCAGTTTGTGCTATGTCTGGGACTCAGAAAGATTAATCAATAATATCAAATCTTCTTTTTGTTGAAATCCACATAGAGCATACTGTATCAAGCGTTATCAAGAACCAGTTACAGAGGAAGAGAAAGTGCCCAATTTGTCACTATTCACTAGAGCAGAATTTTTCAGCAGCATTATTAGGACTTAGCAGGATTGATCAAGGCATGCTCCAGCAAGAATTGTTTACAAGGGTGCAAGTTATTCATTTTAGTATTCTTCATCCAAGTTAGTATTAACATCCATCTGATTATTTGATTTGGGGAAGCCCTCTTACCATCAGATAAGATGATTTCTCAAATATCTTGGTGACAATTATACACATGTATACACTTTTAGCCCCTAAGATCATCCTTATTCTCTCCATCAAAAAAGTAAAATGGTTTTAATTCTACAGCTTTTTCTATTAGTTAGACTCCAGACCCCCTGAACTAGGTAGGAACTTCTGCTTTACATCAGAGAATAAGCCAAGATTTGAATTCTGTTCTGAAATCAAGTAGTCCATCAATGATAAAGCAGGTGTGAGGAGACTAAAGGAAACTATCTGGTAACAAGTCTGTAAAGTCACATCACTTGCAGCAGGTATCTCTTCAGCAGATGCCAACAAATGCCCACCTCTTGTCCCCCACTTGAATGCTGTGGTGCTTGGTATGAGAAATTTTCTTAGGAAGACAATTCATAAGTAGGATTAGATTTGTTGCTGTTCCTTAAGGTATTTAAAATGGGAACTGGAAAACTTGAGCTGTAAAAAGTTGAGCTAGCTACTGCTTAGAGACTGTTTGTTCTGTTCTGCTTATTATCCATAATGGCAGCAAACAAATTCCTCTCTGCATTAATTCTGATGATGAATTCTCCTATGATTATGAAATCCAAGGAATGTTTTCACCACACAATTGCCAGACTTAATTTAGTGTGTCTGACTCTTTAAAAAAGCTCTCTTTTCTTCAACTCTCTGGACATTAGTTGTTGAAATTAGTACATTTCGAATGCACTTACACCCCTGTAAATCATCTCCTGCCATTTGCTGTTGTTGTTAGGAATATCATGAGCTCATAAATGTGGACTTTTCACATTTTTAGGATTATCTCTAGAAAATCTTAATAACCCATAAGCTGACTCCAGCAAGAGTGTTTACCACGCTCAAATGTCTTATGGGATAGTCTGCCTCCAAACATTTAGATCATACGGCCAACCACTTCAAATGTACATTAGAAAAATCCCTGATGGATTTGTTCTTAGTAAGACTTCAGTGTCTGGTACCTCCTGCCATCAGACAATTTCCATGGTCTTTGAGGCAACTTAAGAAGTGAGAGTTTCTTAATGTGGCTGTGTGACAGCACACTGGAGATGTTACAACTCTTACTTGCAGGACTTAAGTTTTGTTCTCAGTTTGATGCCTTGTCTCTTCACAGTCCCATCCAAAGTCTTCTAAAACTCCTAAAGCCTTTGATAATCTGTGGTTTATTTCATCACGTGGGTGTGCATCTTATAAATGGTTGCTTCTTATTGAATGGCTTCCAGCGCAGACAGCAAATGCCTAGCAGGAGTTTTAGCCAGCATTAACAGGACCTGGTTGATAAGGTATTTTTATCCTTTTTATTAAGTGAAGAATAGAAACAAAAGTATCACAAATCCTGTGGACCTTACTACTAGCCATATCACTTTTTTTTTTCCAAGATCATGTTAAGATCACCTGTTCTATTCTTATATGTAACCAATGGATCAGCAAATGAGGAACCTAAAACTAATCTCATGACAGAGCGCTGTCAGTAAAACAAAAAAAGGTCTTCAGAGAGACAGAGGATTTTATTAAGAATCCTGGGCTGAAAATCTTCCTGGAAAATCTTTCTGGAAAAGTTTGCTGGAAATAAAGACTAGGTGAAGAAAAAATGCAATTATTTCCCCTTTATGGAGAAGCATTTGGATAAATGACAGGCAATTTGTAGCGTAAGAAAGGTAAGACAGAAAGTAAAAGCACAATGAAAAGTTGTCTTCCTTAAATATTTATGACTTCAATTGATGAGATTTTTATTCCTGATGGACAGCTTGCAGACTAATGAGTTTTTAGTTGTTATGCAATTAAGGGTGATGGTCTTTTGCTAAATCTTGAGTTTCAGCCATAGTTTATGTAAGTCATTCACATTACTCAACCTATAATGATGTACTTGGCTTCATTGTTTGTGATCTGGTTCTCATTTGTCTGGCACTACATTCTAAGATTGCAATGACTCAGATTTCCTTTAGTTTTACAGCAAAAAGCAATAGTATGTATTGCATGAGGCATCTCAAATTTATTTTCTTGTTTGTGGTCATTTTAGTGCAGGTTTCTCAAGCAGGTGTACACTGACACTTATCTCTGCATTCAGAAGATAAATAGGAACTTGATGTAGTGTTACTTTAGTGATGTCTTCACCATACAATGAATGACTTACATTGAGGGGGTTTCTTTGTTATTTGAAATTTTTCCGTCCGGGAGAAATTATCATCCTCTTGGATGTACTTTCAGCAAAATTTGCTTTACCTTTATTGAGATAAAGCACTGATAAAGTTGGTTAGTCTTTTAACTGTGTCAGGAAGGCAGAAGTTGTCCATTGTGGTGTTAAAAAAAAGAACTGCTATACATTTTAATAAGCTTTAAGTCAATTAGAATGTTTTCTATAGGCAATAAAAAGGGTTATCCAAAAGTTCATACTGATAAAGCGAAATAGATTCCAGAATTTTAATAGACTTTGGGATTTAACTTGTATGTCTATTCACACAGCAAAAACAATGGTATAAATTCATGCTAATCAAAGTACATTAGGTTAGCATGAGTATATTAGTATATTTGGTTATCATATGCTAACCAAATATGCATTTAGATTCCCTTGACTGTCTATGCTTCAACTCTTTCTGCATGTATGTAGTTTAGGATTATTAGCTAGGATTATTAAAATTAAAACTACTATAATTGAACCAGAAGGTCAAGTGCATGCTATTGTCTTAACTCTGCTTTGTCATCCCTGTACACAATCAGAATAAAGTATGTCCTGGAAGAAAAAAAAAACTGAAGAAAAAGAAAAACTAAAGAAAAAAAGGATGAACAAAAAGTTATATTTTTAAAAAACAGATTTTGGAAAAAATAGCTTTTTTAGTTGTTCTGGTGGGCCTGGAAGTAAAACAGAATTCTATTAACTCTTAAATTTAATTCTTACACTATAGAATCCTGTGGAGATTTACGTGGGCCTATCACTCCAAAATGGTAGGTGGTAGGGAAGGTGATGGAAGAGGGCTTTGAAAATACAGGGACAGAATATTATTGTAGTCTGACTTCACAGGCACTGTATAATGACTATAGAGCACTCTGGAAATTATTGATGGTGTAAGAAGCAACAGAGTGAAGCCTGAGGAGCCACATTTCGACAACAGATCCCATATAATTAAGACTGAGTATTCAGTAATCTCTATTATGTGCAGCTATAGCCTCTACTTTAAAAGAAGTAAGAAAAACCAACAACAAAAACTCCTCAAAGAGATGATCTTGAAATCTCAAACTACAGACTGAAGCAACTGGATATGGAGAGCCCCGGTTTTGTGATCAGGAGCTGTAACACTCATCCTGTAGATAAATAGAGGGACAAACCTACACAAAATACTCAGCATGAGCTTTTCAATGGCATTTATGTTGAAGTAACTTTATCTCAGTTTTGACAGATTTATCATTAACAACAGGAAATAAAAAAAAACAACCTGTAACACAGTCTGATGATAATTTTGTCAATGAATTGCAGCCATTTTTTATTCTCTGACTATTGCATTAGTTTTAATAGAGTTTGTGGACTTCTTCAACTATCAAAGCATGTTCTTTCTTCTGGCCAAAAGATCATAAAAGGAAATCATAATTCCTCCTGACCATGGAGAAATCTTGTGTGTATGCCTGCAATCTGTTGTTGGCTTACTCTGCTCTTTTTCATTTTCTTTTTCTGTAGTAGCTTTATCACTGACCCCTAAAAAAACAGGAAAAAAAGACCATTTTTTTTCCTTTTTCTATAAAAAGGCCAATAAAAATGGCAAATATAGAAGACTGAATGGACATTGCAGTGATTCATTTTGGCAACTCACAACTAACTTATGTAAAGTTCAGTTGGTTCACAGAGTTTGACTCTATGCCATTATTGATGCAGTTCCTGCAGTTCCTGGGGTACTAACTCAAATTCACTCAATCAACTCCCTGAGCAACTCCAAGGATTCCAGATCTTCTTTCTCTGGGACAGACTGTTCCAAAATCAGAATGTATTTTCTCAGAAATTACTTTAGTGGCATACTACAAGAAACTGTACATTTCCACATGTGACCTGAGATTTCAATAAACAATTTGAATGATGCTGATGAAAGCAAGTTTGAACAGCTTTCAAACTGTTCAAATATAGAACACAACAGATCTGTAGCCAGTGGAAAGCCTTTCCCTTCCATTTCCAAAATCACTTCAGTTGGCTTCAAGTTAGGCATCATGATTATTGTCTTCCCATGAGTGCAATAAGGAAGGTCTTCATTCCTCATTCTATGATGCAATTCACCTTGACATGCTTTTTGAAATTTGAAGCTGTCCCAAAAAATGTAAAATATGATAGTCTTGTTACATAGATGTTTTATTTTCAGAACAGCAATAACAAGAACATTAGAGTTTCAGGAAGAGCAATAAAAGTAAAAACACACATTACATAGTGTGTTTATTTATTTATTATATTTTAAAGAATCTGCAAAGAATTAGTTGGAACTGTAAATACACTCAGATGGGCTGTAATAATTTTAAATCAGAAGGAGATCGCTCCTAGGACTCAAATTCCATATGGGCAAAATCTCTACTTTCCTAAATCAAATGAGTAGCCCCACAGGAGCCAGTGAACGAGGAGAGGAATAATTTTTGTTTATGCAGGGCTTAGAATGAAGAAAAACATCTCCTACCTGCATATGCCATGCTCTTGCTTCTTAGTACAGACAAGAAAGTTATCCTTTCAACAGCAATTATTTAGAACCTCATCTCAACCTGTTTCCCTCTTGAGTTGAGTGATTGAGTTGAGTGATGAACAGGAGCAGGGCTAAGAATGGTAAAATTGATGGGTAGGACCATCAGTCATGCTAAGTGAGGGTTTGGAAAGTCAGGTAAAGTGTAGGATTTGGAAAACAAGGCAGCTGGATCCTGGTGGATACAGGATCTTCAGAGCAGAGGAGGGTGTGCACTGACCAGTCCCCTAGCAATGTCACCACACTGTCATAAAATCCTTGTGATTCTCTGCAGCTCTACACAGTAACATGTAAAGTCAAGACTCAAACACAAACACCTTGCTGGCTCACATATACCATTTTACAGTCAGGAGAGGATCAGGGTTCCAAAGGGTTTTGCGGTGTCCAAACTTCACCAAATGGGATGTTGCGGTACGTGGCTAGTGTGGCCCACTGGAGAGGAAGACATAAGATTCAGATGTGAATCCCACTTTGGATCTTACAGTAAGGGATTTGAAAATATAATAGGAAAACAAATTTAGTAACTAGGAATACTTCATGTTTCCACTCCCACAACTTTAAAGGAGTTTACCTATTACACAAAATTTTAAATTGTAAAATCTTGTAAAATTTTTTTTCAAATTGCCCCATTATTCAAGCTTTCTCTTCACCTATAACCAGATAAAATCATGCAGTTTTAAATACATAATATAAATCTATGGCTTTTTTAAGCTAGTTCCACACAGAACAATTTTTAAGATTAAAAAATATAAAGTCTGAGTCTAGCAAGATGACTTAAAAGAAATTATCCAGTTTACCTTATGCTTTGTGAAATGGCAAAAGTGTTTATTGAAATTAAATCCTCAGTAAAATTTATCATTTTAATTATGTGAGGCTCAATAAAAACCAAAATAATAGAATGCCTCTAAAGCAAAATAAAACACTTAATGATGAAACTTCTTTACAGAATAACAAAGATTAGAAGAAGAACTATCAAAATACCCCTGCTTTTATATTCATTAATATAACCTGGCCAGCTCTTTATAGAGAAGGAAGCACTGGGATACTCTGAGAGGGTACATTTGCACATGGTTCTCCTCATGAAGAGATATCAAAATTGACCTCTCATACGTCAAAGACTTTGAAGTATTAGTAGAAGGGTAAAAAGCTCCCTTACAACCCCTGGCTCCCTGGCTGCAAGTCTCTGACCACTATCCACAACACACTCATTCTTGAAAACCTCTTTTTAACAAGAGCATCTGGTGCAACACAGAGGAGATATGAGATTATATTATCAATTTCTCTAGTCCAGGATGCTGGCAAAAATGGCATACCTTGTCCCCTTTGGGTGAAACTTCAGCACACAGAAAAATCTTCAGGATGGTCTAGGCAAAAAAGAACAAAATGATAAAGAGCACTGACATGTAGAAAAGTCTCATCCTGTATCAAGGATTATTGACACACAAAACCATGGCAGTCAAGGACAAAGATGAAAAAAAGATGATCTTTGGAAAGAAGACACCTGTGTCAGAAAGGCAATACAGAAGTAGAAAAGATCAAGCTTTCCCAAAGAAATGTAAATCAAAAGTAAATAAAAATCTTTCTAACAATACAGAGTTTACAGCAGAAATGCTAATACCAAAATATTCTAAGGCTTATAAGAACACATACTGGTCTTCTCTTTCCCCTATATTTTTCTCAAAAAATGAGATTCTTACCAATATGAAGTGGTGCATCATGAAAAACAACACTAAATATTGGGCTGCTAATATAAAGTAGCAACATGAGGCTGAGCAATCATAACCATGAGTACGAATAGGGCAGGTCAACCTTTCCAGGGCAAAGATATGAAAGCCTTACTTTAAATAAATATTTTTTTTAAGTAGCATCAAAAGCAGACTTGATTAAATTTGTTCACAAAGTTCTTGGAATGATTCTAGCTGGAACACAAATCTCTATTAATTTTGGTCCAGAGGAGAGAACACCAGTAAACCCATCCCAGCTTTTGCAGCATTTTGTTTGTAACGTCTGATCAGAGTTTAGCTTGTAGGATCCAAACACAATTGAGCAACATTTGATTATGATTATTTTATTTGATTTTCTGAAGTATTTGCACAATATTCTTGTTACTTTGAAGATAGCTCACTTCAAGCTGTTCAGCTTTTATTCAACAAAGCCAAACACAATTTCTTTTTATGAAACACTGTAAATATAGAAAGCTGTAAATTAAGTTGCTCTGGAACAGAGAAAGAAATTTTAAGAAATGTTAAGGGATATATCTAGCTTTGAAATCACTCTCCATGGGAAGAAACAGGACTTTCCTTATTTTCTTGCCAAAAATGGGAAGCAAAAAGGCTAATTCAATTTCACGCCAGAAAGAAAGAAAATAAGTATGTGTATATATTATAACACATACCAGTAGGTAGAAGAGATACTTAAGAAAAGGAGAATTGTGCTTATAACCACAAAACTTAGGCATTAGCGAAGGTGTTGGAAGTACACTCCAAATTTTAAGTTACAAAGCAATTACTGTAGTACCTGTTAGAATATATGCTTTAACTACTCCTTTATCTAAAATAATTAATTACAGGCTTGTACTACTATTTACATATAACAGTGGTTTAGGGACTATCATAATAAATTTAAATATTCAGGAAAGCATGTAAACTACACTACTGATATGAATGGATGTATTAATTATAAAAACTGGTTTTGCTTTTAACATTTTTTTCATACACAGAATCATCCAACCAGAAACTGAATTGAAAGGTATTCCTCTATACAGGCTGGCAATTATTGAAACCTTACCACAGGAAAAGGTTTGGGAGCAGATGTTTCAAAACTGGTTTGCTGAGCTTAAAGAGTTTCCTAAATAATGGGTTACCTGAGTTGGAGCACTCCTACACCAGCAGCTCCATCTGATCCCTGCCATGTCACTGCTGATTGCCTCAGAGGTCACCCCTTGGCAGCCTGTATGATTGGCAGCCTTTGCTGCAGGAATACAACCAGCGCTGGAACCCGCTCTTCAGGTTCAGCACATGGGATCAGGGCCAAGGAAAGGCAGCTGGCTTGGAGCAGGGAGGGAGTCCAGAGGCTTTACATAGGCTTAAGAGCACAATAGCATTGGCCAGGCAGCTGTGTCTGAATGGAAGTGCAGAAAAAGAAGGCAGGACTTTTGTGGTGGTGTTCTGGCTTTAGGGACTATCAGGATAAAGGTGACAAGAATAGGAGAGACATGTTAGGCTGCCATTTCTCACAGCCTGCATAAAACTGAAACAACCACCCTTACAAATAAAAGTAAAAGAAAACATGGAAGGCCAATATGGTGTTAGGTGACAGTTTATTTGTTCACAACAAATTGTATACCAGTCCTAGATTGAGCTGGTCAAGCAGGTAAGTGAAAGGAAAGAGTCCTAGAATCTGCTAATCTTATTTCCACTGAAGAAATTTTTATTCTAAATTTGTCATTACAAGCTATGTAAGTGCAAGGAACTTTTATAGCCAATTAAGTGTCTAAAAAAATTCAGGAAGAAATTTTTCCCAGAAACTGAAAGTGGTTTCTGAAAATGCAGTCCTGTGTGCCCTACTGTGCATGATTCCATCATCCACTTAATGTAAAATTTTCTGTGTGTTTACACTGCCTTCCAATTATCACATAGGACTTGATCATTGTGATTTCAATTCTTCGTAGATGCGTTTTTTGGGGGACACCAATATAAAACAGCCAGTCATGCTTTTTAAATTAACAGTCTATCTGGAAAGCATATAGGTAGATCTCTACTGAAGCAGTCCTCAGAACAGTATTGGTGTTCAATTTAAGCAGCTGTTGAGTGCAAATCAGTGATGACAGCACTACTACCACAGTGTACTACTCTAGCAGAACCTGAGAAGTTTTCTTTTGCTACATTTATGAGTCCTGATAATCAATATATTTGCACAAAAAAAAAAAAAAAACCTGACCCTAAGACTAGTTTAGTTGTTTAGAAAGTGGTGCTAATAAAACCAAGGTCAGGTGTTTGAGTGCCCCTTATAGGCCATTCACTTCAGCGCTGGACTTGATGATCTCTGTGAGTCCCAACCAACTTAGAATACTCTGTGACTGTGATAATCACAGCTGAAACCTCCATCTGCCTTACACATCCATATTACAGTGCTTGCTTATTGAAACTAAATTATTCATTACTGGAAGTAAAGAATCCAAGCAGCACAAGCAGATGGCTTCTTCCCAATTTGAAAAGAAAAAATACATAAGAAAGACAATGGTGTAGGAACTGGTAGATTTTGTTACCCAGACTTCTGATCACAGCCCATTGTCTACCACCCTTCCCTTTAATTTAAAGAAAATTATCAACAGAAGTTTTATCTTTTTCCAAACTCCTGAAATCCAAATAGCGTGTCTCCTGACTAGGTTTTGTTCATTTTCTGCTAAATCTCTGCCAGAGAGCATTGTTTGTTCTTTGTTTGAAATTATCAGCAACTTTAACTAGATCTATCAGCTGCAAGGAAATCTCTCAAGTTCTGAGCAATTTCTCCTCCACAAGCAATCTTTTATTAGGCAAAAAAGTTGCTGGGAAAATTCCAAATTCCCTCTTCATCCCTCTGGGATGTTTCTTAAAATTCTGCACCAGGTCCTCAACAAAGAAATGAGCTCTTTCTTTTGGAATCAACAAGAATAAAGTGTTTAGTTTCTTAATTACTGGGCTAGGCTCTCTCCAAAAGTGTCTAAGTTTGGAATTCTTTTTCTGGCTACTTTTTCTAATCAAGAGCCAAGCATTTTCTGCTCCCTGGTTGGGAATATAATTATTTTCATTTCTTTTGGGTTTTTACTGTCTTTACTTGCCGCTCAGAAGTGCCTTATGTTCAGGAATACAGAGCTGTAGACAGATATGTAACAACACTACCACAAAAGCTACCTGTACAGGACTCTGATAATTCCCAGGGCATTTTACATTAGGAGAGGGAAAAAAAACAAACCAAAACAAAAACAAAACCAAAAACAAAACAAAAAAAAAACACAACAACAACAAAAAAAAAAAACAAACAAAGCAGAAGTACAAAAATAAGAAAAATAAGCTCTGTAAAAGCAATGGATAATAGAACACTAGAAAAGTAAAAAATTGTTATTTTTATGTTCTAGCATTTATAGTCTTCACCAAGACTTTAAGCATTTAATTTGCAGCCTCCAAACTCCACACCAATCAAGCTCAATTTATTCAAGTGCAAATCCCACAGCAACTTTCAGCATTGCATAAAAGTAATTTCCCATACAGAAGCCGCAAGTGACTAGGATCAGCTTGGAAATTTAAATACAATCTAGTTCATAAAAATCCTTTCTTCACCAATTCAAATCCTTTTTGCTGTTCCTCTGTCAAAAGTCACTCAATTAGTTGCTACTGCAATGGCATTCCCCAGGCATGCAGAGAGTACAAAAGTCTTTTCTCTCAAAATGGTGAATTTCCTCCCCTCTTGAAGAAATTTCTGGATCCTTTTTAACAGTCAGTTCTGGGATTGGAGGTGCAGTAGCAGAGATGACATTACTTTGAATCTGCTTCATCTTCATGCATGTTAAAGGATGAACTCTAAATTGAAAGCACTCATTTGGATACCTTTAGAATGTTTCTAGTTCCTACCAAATAGCTATACTCTATTCCATATAAAGAGTTGAAATAATTTAAGTACTTGAGAATATCTTCTATTCCCAAAGACTTAGGATATATTATTTCCCCCTCTTTGGAGAATCCAGAGCATTCCACAGTGAGTTTTTCCTCATTTTAATTACAGTCAGAATAATATATTTTATATATTTTGTTCCCAATGCTTTACATTGTCTGCTACAGGAGAAAGCTATTAGCAATCTTGAGTTATCTGTGGGATCGAATCAACATGTCCTCCAGTTTTGGTCATACTTTAAAAAAATTATTCCTGTAAAGGATGTCTAATCAGCTCATTATTTAGTTTCTTTTATCTTTAGGTGATAAAGGTAAAAGCAAGATAAAAAGATAAAATCCCACAGGCTGGCTTTCTGTCCATAACATTCTATGGCTTTTCCTAATGCTGCTCCAGATCACATCTCTCAAGTTTTCAATTAGTTACAATTGCTGCTTCCTGCCCTTTTGACTCGCAAAACATTCTCTAGATCTTTGACTCACATGAGCTTCACAGCTCTCATTCCATGATTACCTTTGCAGAATAAGCTACAATGAACCCAGTATCCTTGGTCTGTGTTCTGACAGGCTACATCTTGGTCAGCCTTTGTATCCTCAACTGTACATTGCTCAAGAGTACAGTTCTCCATGCAGAGCAAAGAGTTTACTTTCACATCAGTGCATTCACTGCCTCAATGCAACTCTATTTCTGTGCACTTGCAATTTTACTTCCTTTAACT